AGCAGGCTCAGCAGGAGCTGCATGCTGTTGAACAAGAGGCGTAGGCTGCTGAACATGATGTCGAAGCAGAGGTGCAGCCTTCTAAAATTGATGTGCATGCTTCTGGACCACAGCAGCAGGCTCAGCAGGAGCTACATGCTGCTGAACAAGAGGCGCAGGCTGCTGAACATGATGCCGAAGCAGAAGTGCAGCCTGCTGAAATTGATGTGCATGTTTCTGGACCACAGCAGCAGGTTACTGAACATGAGTTGCATGATGCCGAACCAGAGGTGCAAGTTGTTGAAACTGATGTGGAGTTTGGTGAAGGTCCTGAGCTGGATGATGAATATGAGGAGGGTATTTTGGGAGAGGAATTCACTGACTCGGAGTATGAGCAGGAAGAAAATATTGCTGTGGAAGATAATGATGAAAACACATCTTTCAGGTTGAGTGAATGTTTTGACATTGGTGCAAGTGGTGAGCAGGAAGGTGTAAGGGATGAGTAGGAAGGTGAGGCAGCTGCTGGGGAAGAATCTGGAATAGAATACGAAGATTCCAGTGAGCTTAGAAGCTTACCCAGTAATACAGAGGATGAAGGATCATTTGCCAGAAGGAAGAATGTGTGCTGGTTTAACCCTGCAACTGATATGGAAGATCCACAGTTCAAGCTAGGTAATGTCCACTGTTTTGTGCAATTCATTTCTGGTTTAATTCATTTGGATGATAATGCATTCTGGTTTAATTCATTTCTGTCAGGGATGAAATTCAACAACGTCAAGATTATAAGGAATGCATCAGTTCAATACTCAGTCAAAAATTCCATGCAACTGAGATACGTGAAAAATATGAGGACACAGTTGAGAGTTCGGTGTTACGATAATTGCCCTTAGGTTCTATATGCGTACCAACAACCTAACAAGAGTTTTATAATTAACACATTTGTAGATGAGCACACATGTACCATGGTGTGACAAAATAAAAGGGTTAATTCAGGTTTTCTGGCAAAGAAATACGTGAGAAAATTTAGGTCTGATCCAAACATTCTAATGAGTAATTTTATGGAGACTGTGAAAGAGGACTGCATGTATGAGATTTCAAAGCATCAGTTCTACAGGACAAGAACGAAATGTGCAGAAGTTATTAATGGGATTGTAGCTGAGCAGTACAAAATTTTATGGGATTATGGTGAGGAATTGAAGAGAACAAATCCAGGCACTACAGTACAAATCGAAGGTTCGGGACATACTTTTAAGAGATTGTACATCTGCATAGGGGCTTGTAAGGAAGGGTTTAAGGCTAGGTGCAGGCCAGTTGTTGTGTTGGATTGATGCTTCCTAAGATCTGTAGAAGGTGGACGGTTGTTAGCAGTTGGGATCGATGGTGAGAACTGTATGTTCCTGTTAGCATGGGCAGTTGTGGATGCAGAGAACAAAACAAATTAGCAATGGTTCATAGAATTGTTGGTTCATGACATAGGGATGCACAACCCTCGAGCTTGGACATTCATTTTCGACAAACAAAAGGGTTTGGTGGATTCCATAAGTTAATATTGTGAAGGAGCGGAGCATAGATATTGTACTAGACATCTTTATAGCAATTTTACCTTGGCACACAAAGGTCTGGCACTTAAGAATCTATTTTGGACTGTAGCAAGGGCAACAATAGTACCAGAGTGGAAGAGTGCAATGAATGAGTTAAAAGACATAAGTGAAGAGGCTTACAACTGGTTCCTTGAAAAACCTCCTTCCCAGTGGACCAGATCCCATTTTGAAGAGCATTTGAGATGTGATATTCTTCTTAATAATTTGTTTGAG